GAAGTCAGAAAAATGGCGGCAGAAAGGATTCATACGCGAGCCAACCCAATAGCAGAATGGCACGTGCACGGAGCCAGCACTAGAAACGAGGACGGCCTCAGTTATTTATAAGTCTCAGAGTACCTACTGCCTTCCTTGTGGGATGACCCCAAGCAATCGCGTTCCCAGAGGCCGCGATCAAAAAAAATTCAAACATGGTGGTCGAAGGCGGGACTGTTTCTCACTATTATATTTTGGTAAATCGCAAATTTATTTATTTTATGTCGCTTTTCAGACATAGTGTGTGGTTTTCTTTTTCTGTTGAACAATTTCCCTCCGCAGACTTTGGAATATGCAACATATATAGCTCCGTACAGGCCGATTTTTACTGATTTTCATTATATTCTTTTCACAATTTCAGCCTCAGGTTTATTCTTAAAATATTCTTAAAGTTTCGCAAATTTAAGCTTCCATATTCTTATAAAGCTCTCCGAGTATACCTGCTTCCGATAGATTTGACACTTGCCGCATTCCCCACCCATGGCCCCGACCGGTGAATTAGGCAGCAGTCACGCAATGGTCCTCCGCGTTCACCTAGTGTAATAAAAGTGTCAAGACTGAAGATTCCGCAGTGGCCTTTGCGCATGCGAACAAGCCAAAGAGAATTGTCAGTAGCGTTACCTTTCAGAGTTTACGGTGAACGAGTTTTTCAACTCGTTCGGTTTCCAAAAAATGTGCTGCTGTCAAGGGATGAACGCAACCCTTTTTTTTTGGTTTTTTCTTCTTCTTGTTTTTTTCTCTTGGTCTGCTATCAGTGTTGCCAGCGCTTGGCGAGTCTTGTCCTTGTTCTTGTTCTTCTTTTTGTGCTTTTTCTTCGCCTTAGCGTTAGCGTCCTCAGACTGTGGGACTTCCTCGTTGTCTTCGGCGGTCGGCTGGGGTGGCGGGCTGGGAGATGGCGATCTTCGCCTTTTGTTCTTCTTCTTTTTTGGGGCGGGACTGGTTTGTGTAATGAAGATGTCTGCTTCGTCATCACTCTCGTCGTCCACGTTTAGCACACGTCGGCGGTTCTTCGCCGCTGAGGGGCCGTTCAGCGGCAGTTCACACTGGTTAATGATGTTTAACCTTGGATTTTTTCACATCGGTAATGATCCTTCCGCAGGTTCACCTACGGAAACCTTGTTACGACTTTTACTTCCTCTAAATGATCAAGTTTGACCAACTTCCCGGCATCCGCCGCTCTGTTGCCAGAGTAGCGACGCCAGTCAGAAGGCCTCACTAAACCATTCAATCGGTAGTAGCGACGGGCGGTGTGTACAAAGGGCAGGGACGTAATCAGCGCGAGCTGATGACTCGCGCTTACTAGGAATTCCTCGTTTAAGATCAAAAATTGCAATGATCTATCCCCAGCACGACGATGTTTAAAAGATTACCCACACCTCTCGGTGAAGGAGACACTCTCTGACATCGTCAGTGTAGCGCGCGTGCGGCCCAGAACATCTAAGGGCATCACAGACCTGTTATTGCCTTCCTGACTTTGGTTGTATACCAACAGTCCCTCTAAGAAGTTTACCACGAATCGAGATTCGCGTAACTATTTAGCAGGTTAAGGTCTCGTTCGTTAACGGAATTAACCAGACAAATAGAGGGCAGGCCACAGAGCACACTCTACACCGCGGTAAAGTGGCGAAGAAAAGATTTCATACAAGAATGGTGGGCGCTCGCGGCGGAAATGCATCAGGATGAAGCGCGAGTAGCAGGAGTCTTCCTTCGTGATCAGGAAGTCATAAACCTGCTGGAGGAAAGCTCGTCTCGAGGGATCGTCCACATGCAAGATCTTTTGTTGAACCAATTCTTTGGACCAGGATATGCGGAATGGGCCTGTCCTCTGGCGATATCCGTTAAACATTCTCACATAATCCCCACAGTGGATGTCAAAGGGGCTCAGCAGTCTCTGGTCTTCAATTGTGACGTTCCGCAACAGGAGAGGGACATCATCCACGTCGGGGACGACATAGGTGGCGTTGCTGCACTTGCACGTCTTGTTCAATGGGGTTGGAGCCCTTCGGCGGAATGCCGGCAAGACATATCGCAGCTGGCTGCGTTCTTCATCGATATGTGAGCCAAGAGATCCACCGTCAAAAGTTGTCTCTCATTTTTCTTTCTTTCTCATACATTTAATGCATGATACATACGTTCTCAGTCTTTAACGTTCAAAGTGATATCATAAACACAATCCTCGGTCCTTCATGCTTTTAACTCTTCATTATTTATTGATATATTTGGCATTGCCCCAATCAATCAGTTGAGCAACTGGTTGATGCAAGAGGCCCAAAACAAGTCAAAGTCATATTATGTAATAGTTGCAGATGAACGAGCATTCCTGCTAGCAATGAATGGGGATCAGTCTGCCATGATTGTTGACTCGCACAGACATGGCAGTAAAGGAGCCATTATTGCATGCTGTAAAAGAGGACATGTTGGATCCTTTGCTCTTTGGTTTGATGCTATGATGAATGCGACCTGGGTAGTTTCGCTCACTATTGCATCAATTTCACCGGTTTATTATTGACTCTGATCTGTACATAACAAACACACAAATTCGATAACTGGAGTGTGTGTATAGTAATTAGCTTTTCATCCCTTTAAGACCCAGTATTGAATTACAAATTGCTGAGGAGAATTTGTAGAAAGATCAACGCTATTTCCTTTTGGGGACCATTTTATCCATTCTCATAACCTTTTTGTCACAACAAGATACTCATTATTGTGAGGAGATATTTGAAGATTGATCACTATTGGGTCTTAAAGGGTTTAAGGCACACCAGTAAAAAAAATACCGGAGACTGTATATGTATTGATAAAACAAGTATTCTAGTTATAATTTATTGTTGTTTTTAAAATCTTTGCCTCGTGGGGGTGTAGCTGGGGAAGCCCAAGCTCATGTCATACAAATTTGTACAGAAATTTATTGAAAGTACAGACGTTGCCTCTTTATCTTTACTGTCCATTTGTTGTTTATAGCCATTTTTGGAAACTTCTGACCAATTTCAGGAAAGCAAGTCTTGGATCAGGTGATTATTAGTGTTTTCCAATTGATATTTTAGGAATGCAGAATCAATTTTTTTTACATTATATACATATGTATATTTCTGCACTTTCATTTGCAGTGTTAAGAAATTTGGAAAATCTAGTACTTTTTATATAAATTAGAAGCGATGTTTCGATATTATGGCCAATTACATAAAGAATAAAAAATACAAGGAAGAAGGTGTTCAAAAAATGCATCAGTGGTTGAGTCGTCGTGACAAATAAATTTTCTGCAGTTCTATAGACAGTATCTTGTCTTCTCTACACTGTTTGTGTGGTTTTAGCTGGGTCAAACGGAGAAGAGGAATGACCCATTATTTTCCCCTTGGTTTCTTTCGTTGCTTGAAGACCGATGAAGAGCGAGGGGTGTGCGCTAGCAGCGGGGTGGGGGGTCATTGCTTTGTAACTTTATGGGAGATTTTGGGCCTGCACCTGTTTCCTTTTATTCGTCTAGTGGTCCCATTTCTTCTTCAGAAATCAGTGCTTATGCTAGCGGGTCGGTAATCTCCTGGTGAGGTTCCGATTTGATAAGGAAAAAGGAACACCCCTAGTCTCGTTTCCCTAAAGTACACGAAATCAAATTGCAAACAGGCAAGTAGATATAAAAACTTGCTGATTACAGTGTTTTATTCAACAGTGTCTCTTACAACTGTGTTACATTTGTTTTCCTTGAAATTGAGCGTGGACGGATGTTTTTTTTAATGAAAGAACTGACAAATGTCTAACAGGAACAAACACAAAAAAACATGCCTTGTATAGTCCATAAAATTTTCTACGTCTACAGCTGAAATGCATTTATGAGAACGGCAATGACTGCTCGTATCTGATTGTACCTCAAGGAGGTGAGATCCCGGATTTCTCTGAGAGTTATAGGGCTTCTGGTAAGACTCTCCTTTACAACTTTAAACTGCATCCATTCCAGTTGATGTCAAGTTCTCCAAGCATCCTTCCGTAAAGTGTTTCATTCCCTTGTCCTAGAGCGATGGAATCTATGACGTAGATCTAAACAGTTACCTCCGTTACTCGTAGCCTTCAAGCAATCATCTCGAAAGGTTCCCCGCATTTCCATATTTCGAATGCACTGGCTTTCTTTGGAAACAGACTAATTTTTCCATAGAGCTACTTTAGGGTGTTCACCTAAGGTTGAGTAGAAATTGAAGGCAACAAAGGCAGTACGATGTCAGAGAAGGTTTGAAATTATTTTGCAGCTAGTAGTAATTAGAACTTGTTCTTACATCAATTGCTTTGATTCTTTTTGGTTTACCCTGCTCCTGTCCACCTTCTTTGTTACTTCCTTTGGCCTCTCTCTTTTTTCTAGTGAATGGAGATCAAATATAAAAAGGCTCGACTTAAGACTTCAGGAACCTTTGGTACGTGTGTACGATTATTTGTTAGAAAGACGCGAAAAACAGTGACATACAAATTCTAAGTGCATTCCGAAGGCAAGCCAATGCAACCTATCGGGTGCATGTCAGAAGAATCACTGTAGGCTGGTTTCCACGTCATTGCCAAAGATCACCTCGACTGATGGATGATTCATCACAGGAATCATACGGAAACTGGTCCATCACGTCTGTATTATATCCGAACGAAGTTCGCTAAATTCTATTCTTTTGCTATGGGGCGGTCGGTGGCGCTGATATTGAAACCAGCCGAATTTACGAGATCATAAAAACTGTACTTACGTTTGTTCCATCTTGGCGAGTACAAAGCAACTTCAAAGTGCCTAAAGTTCCAACACGCTTACGCCGAGTGTGTGAAATGGAAAACAGCTATTATAGGTGACAAAGGGCAGTTGTGGAAAATGAAAGAATCGATTTTTGTCAGATTTCAACAGAAGCTCCAATCAAAAGGTGTGACAAAATCAGGCGAACACGTGCGAGCGAGACGGACATTTTGTGAATCTTGCGCAGTTTCATTACAAGCCGGGTAACATGGAATTTCCCTCGGTAGTTTTAACTTTGATCTTTAGTTTCTTGGAGATTGAAGACCTGGTAAGAGCTGCTAGAGTGTGCAAAGATTGGTGGAAAAAGATCTCAAGAGGAGTGTATCTCAAGGAAGCAGAGCCTTACGAATTGGATCTCTCTAGATCAGAAGATGTGTACCGCTTTGTGCCGCTGAAGATGTTTGCTCTATTGACGCACCTAAACATTTCCTCGACCGGAGTCTCTAATCGGCATTTTGAACAACTGTCACGTACTGCAGAAAACCTAGAATTCTTGGACATTTCCAACTGTTCCTCCCTCGAGCAAAGCTCCATTTTTCAAGCAAAGAAAGCATTCAGCCGTCTTGAATACATGGACATGTCCGGTAATCAAGGCAACTTCACAATTTTGGCAGTGGCGTGCCTGTGCTCATGTGAAAGTCTTCAAATGATCGTAGCGCATGGATTTACCTTTACTGTGGAGGAATTGCATTGTTATTTCTTTCAAAAACATTTGAGTCAGTTTCAAGTGGAGAGTTGCAATTGGAACTAGAGGATGGCTTCAACGTAATATCCGTGATGTCAACTTTTGAGGAGGAACTGTTTGATGAATTCTTTTCTTAAGTCGCTGAGCTCTTCTCAGCTGAAATAACCCTTTTTTTATCGGAACGGTCATATCTTGATCTATAGAAAGACCTTTACAAATTTCTAGTTCTGTTTTGATGTATGTTCTGTTTGATGTATGACGATTTCGTGTGGCGCGGCGAACTTGATGCCTTCAATAAACGAGAACAATACAAATGGCATACAGCGAAGTGTCGTGTTACTTTCAACACCCGGGGCTACCACAAAAAAAAATCAGAAAAAATACTTCCCCATATCCCATGCGCCTGAGACTTTACTTTCTGGCTATTTTTCCGACTACAATAAAGCACGTTTTGGCATATTTCGCTAAAACACGCGTTCGGTCGCTGAGGGATCGAAACAAATTCAAATTTCGCGCTCAACCTCACAACAGCCAATGAGCAAGGTCGAATGTTATTTAATTAAGTAATTAGCACCTTTGATTACAACGGAAGATTTTGCATCGAACTGGCGTTTTTTGCCTCCTTCTTACGTACTTAATGACTCCATTGAGTATTTTAGCCAATAGGTGTTTAAAAGGGGGTCAAAGAATGACAATTTATTGAATAAATCTTAGCCCTTGAAAACTGTACTAATCCATAGGGGTACTCTGTAAGGTAGTATTTAGAGTAGTCGGTAGGTAAGTCCATGGCATAGGGGTCCAATGAAATGTGTATCACATGATGCTTATCTAGGGTAGCAACTTCCGGAAGGTTGACCACATGGCCCTTTCGAAGTCTACTGTGATTTTCTTCTCTAAAGGCTGGTTTGGTAGAAGTCTTAAGATCTCCTTGACCACCGCTCTGTAGTCTTTCTTCTTTTTCCCGGACATTAATTCAAATACCAGGGGTATTTGTTTTGGATGTTCCTCACTCCGGACGAAGGCGTTAATGGTTAATAACTGTGTGAATGGGGTCTTGCAGAGCTTGAAAGTACCATCCACTACCAAGTTTTGGCACGCGAAAGTATAAGTAGCTGCTCATCAGTGGCAATGATGGTCACGCACCTAAAAGAAAAGTAATGGAATGATTAAATGCCTTCATAATTGAATTGCTTGGGGAAGGGGATCTTGTAATCTTAATGCACATTGATAAAAAGCATTATATAGTACTATCAACGTTTTCATAATTTGGTTATGTCATTCACAAAAGAAAAAAATCGTTGGATTATACGACTTTAAAATTGAATTGTTTGGCAAAGGTGGTTGAAATGATTTTAGCTCATGATAACAATTACATGTCATCAATTTTACCTGGACATCTCGACACAGGAATCCCTCGAGTAGATGGTCCTCGCCCAACTCGAAGTCCAAACTCTGGATTTGATGGGCGCACTCTTTGTCGCATGTAATTCGCCAGTTTGGCAAGGTTCACTTGTTTTGGCACGCTTAGACAAGGTGCGTCCGTTATCTCCTCCATCTACACTTGATTGACTATCACCATGGCAGGCTTGAATAGGTTTTTCTTGGCTTCTGCCTTCGTCTTGGCTGTTATCTTTGCCGCCAACCCAGCACCAACTTGTCCCTGGTGGTTGTGCTCGTGCCGCCCAAGGACAAGTTCTCCATCGGCTCTCTGAATTACAGTAGCCTTGCATGGGTTGACCTTAAAAAAAGAAGTGGATATCATTAGTGAACTATAGCGCGGGTATACTGGATTAGAACTGAGTGAATGCTTATTAGCATTACCAAATAAAATCAGTCAGGAAGTGGTGTATTTTTATTGACAAAAGTTCACATCAGAGTGTTCTGTTAACTTCTGTATACTTATCAGTAACAAATACTTTCCAAAGCAGAGCGTGCGCTTATCATCAGAAACTAAAGGAAAAAACACATACCTTTGGCCTGATGGTACACTGCCAATCTGTATTTTTTGCCCGGCGTCTTTGAAAATTGTACGTATATCCACGGTTGTTTATCAGCTTTGGTCGACCCCTCTTAGTCGAATCCTTCACAATTTAAAACTCGAGGCGAAGCTTTCTGGCACTTCATTGGCTGGGGGCTCCATGATGGATGAATCGTCTTGAATGGCATCATCACCAGTTAACTTTTATTTTAGGCAAAAATGAGACTATTTAGAGGCATTTTAAACAGAAAAGTCATCTACCATTAAAGTTTACCATTAAAGAAGACACAGGCTATTATTAACCTTGTCACTGTGAATGCTCATAGTAAGTTGTAGCGATGGATTATACAGTAAACTGAGCATACTACATTTTAAAGTGGCAACTTTCTACAAATAGTTTAAGGCTTACCATTGTTTCACTTGTTGTCTGATCAGGGGGGTCATAAATTGTTGACTGGAACGAATCGCTGTGGGTCGAACGAGGGTTGAACTCTGATGACTCAAGAATTTCGACTGACGACTCGGTCAGATACTCTGGCACTCTCGGCCACTGGACTAAAAAAGTGACAGGCTTTGCAAACCCAATCTATCCCGGTAGCTGTACGTACAGTGGCACAATAATCTTGTTGAGAAATTCCTTTGAAAAAAAAAAGTAAGCGGCTATAGAACGATTTCATGTAGCAAAATATCTGACATCACCTTAAAGATCAAAGGGGGTTTTACAAACTGAATGAAAATGAAGTGTGGAAGGTAACCTACCAGTGTTACAGGTTCTGTGGTTCCACTGTAAGCAAATGTCACATTGAATTCCTTGTTGCCGGGATGTAACAGGTCTTTAACACATGATGCAATTGTTGGCCATTCTTGAAATTAACATTTTGCAGTCGATAATTAAGGCTCATGGCTCGTGTACGACGACCTGACTGACGTCATTAATAATGTAATAGCAAATGGCTAGTAGCAAAAGGAACAGTAGAGGAACAGTAGGGGAACAGTAGGAACAGTAGGATCAGACGAACAGTAGGATCAGAGTAACAGTAGGAATTAAGTAGGAACAGAGGAACAGTTGGATCAGAGGAACGGAGGAACAGTAGGAACAGTAGGAACACAGGAACAGTAGGAACAGTGAAAACAGAGGAACAGTACAGTAGGAACAGAGCAACAGTAGGAACAGAGCAACAGTAGGATCAGAGGAACAGTAGGAACAGTAGGAGCAGTAGGAACAGAGGAACATTAGGAACAGTAGGAACAGTAGGAACGTAGGAACAGTAGGAACAGTAGGAACAGTAGGAACAGTAGGGAACGTAGGAACAGAGGAACAGTAGGAACAGAGGAACAGTAGGAACAGAGGAACAGTAGGAACAGTAGGAACAGTAGGAACAGAGGAACAGTATAGGAACAGTAGGAACAGTAGGAACATTAGGGAGACTAGGAACAGAGAAACAGTAGGAACAGAGGAACATTAGGAACAGTAGGAACAGAGGAACAGTAGGAACGGTACGAACGGAGGAACAGAAGTAACAGAGGAACAGTAGGAACAGTAGGAACAGTAGGAACAGTAGGAACAGTAGGAGCGTAGGAACAGTAGGAACAGTAGGAACAGTAGGAACGTAGGAACAGTAGGAACAGTAGGGAGAGTAGGAACAGCGGAACAGTAGGAACAGTAGGAACAGTAGGAACAGTAGGAACGTAGGAACAGTAGGAACAGTAGGAACAGAGGAACAGTAGGAACAGAGGAACAGTTGGATCAGAGGAACGGAGGAACAGTAGGAACAGTAGGAACGTAGGAACAGTAGGAACAGTAGGAGCAGTAAGATCAGAGGAACAGTAGGAACAGTAGGAACAGAGCAACAGTAGGAACAGAGGAACAGTAGGAACAGTGAAAACAGAGGAACAGTAGGAACAGAGCAACAGTAGGATCAGAGGAACAGTAGGAACAGTAGGAGCAGTAAGATCAGAGGAACAGTAGGAACAGTAGGAACAGTAGGAACGTAGGAACAGTAGGAACAGTAGGAACAGTAAGATCAGAGGAACAGTAGGAACAGTAGGAACAGTAGGAACAGTAGGAACAGTAGGGAGAGTAGGAACAGAGGAACAGTAGGAACGGAGGAACAGTAGGAACAGAGGAACAGTAGGAACAGTGGAAACAGAGGAAGAGTATAAACAGTAGGAACAGAGGAACAGTAGAAACAGTAGGAACAGAGGAACAGAAGGAACAGAGGAACAGTAAGATCAGAGAAACAGTAAGAACAGTAGGAACAGTAGGAAATGCGGCTAACAAACGCGATTTAAAGTGTACAACTTTAACGAGCGGAATATTTTTGTATTTTTATTGTTAAGATGCATTAAATAAACTTATTATTTAAAAACTTATTACTATCATTTTAATACGGCGTTATTTCTCTTTATAATCCCTCAAATATTTTCGCTTGCGTGTGAATGGTCAAAATACGTCACACTATGTAGTCCTATATGCCCCAATTAAAATTTGGGAAATCCCCAGTGTTCAAACAAGATTCGCTTCGTTGGGTGTAAGAACGTTTTGCTGTCTTAACAGCGAAACACACTAAAACGTCAATATCCCACGTTCAAAATATTTTGACCGCGATAAACTTTTCGTGACAAGATTGAAAATAAGGTGGTTGCGGCCTTCGCTTGGTTTTGTGACATGTTTGCAAAAGTTGATTTTAGAATTTAACTTTTTGTTCATGACGAAAAGCTAAAATATTACCGCAGTTAAAAGTAAAAGCAAGAAACATTACGATTTCTATCGGCCGTGAAAAGACTAAAAGCCATAAAAAGGCCATTATGTAACTTTCACAACCAGCCTTGTGACTTTAAGCAAAAATGTTTGAAGGATTGAAGCACAAAAACTTTAATTTATTTGGCTTCAAAAATATGCAGCTATAATTATCCTTGGACATTATTAGATAAAGGAACCAATTTCAAAAGCATTCATTTCAAATATGAGTGTGAAATTTTTGACATTTCTCTTGTATTATTGATTATCCAGATAAATTTCAGAATAGTTCGATTCTCTTTTCAGAATGTACTCTATGAATTAGTCTTAACACGCAGTGCATTTTTACTCTTGATATAAGCATGTTTATAATCTCACGCTATCCAACCCTGAATAAAATAAACACCCGGCATCGCCAACAGTAAAACATTAACAATTATAACTAAGTCGCGTTTTTAGCAAAATATCTTCTCCTAGTAACACAGTACAGTCTAATAAAAATCCCATACATTTCCTGTAATTTTTGCCGTGTTTGCCCCCAACTAATATGAAACAGAAACCGTGTAAGGGTCTATAATTAACATGCAACTGAACTTGGAAAAAATATTAAAATTCGCGTTTGTGCAAAATGTTATCAAACCTATGCTAAAAAAATCTAGCAAACAAGGGTTTTCCTTGTATAAATATAAAATTACAAGCCCGGATTGAAGCAATATCCAGGGGAGGGGGCGGGGGGAGAAGGAGGGGGTATGGGTGGTGATTTTGACATTTTCCAAGATGTTAAAGTTCCACTCCCGGGACAACACGATTGCTCATTATCATAATATCAAAGTTCATCACCCTGGGGCAAGTGCAGGTGATCAAATATCCCCAAAAAATTATGCTAAAACTCTAACAGTGGATATTCAGGCCATGCCAATAAAACCCCTACCCCTTGAGATTGATAGATGCATTGCATGTTCTCGCTGAAATTAAAGTCGTGATTGTACCGATTATCACCACTGATCAGTCTTCTTCCGCTGAAATGGTATAAACCCTTTCGAGATCCACCTTGTCACCTTTTCACCTCTCTTTGAATTGGTTACTGTAGTTTCCAAGAATAACACCATAGTTTCCGACCTCGTTAACGTTGCACGGAAGGCCCTTATAAAACACAGTGGTTCTATCCACGACCAGAACCTTTCCGAGACCTATGGATTTAGGGTCTGCCTTCTTGCTTACCGCGCCGGTTTCCATTATTCCACTACATGTCAATAAAACCCCTACCCTTGCCCCTCTCCCCTCCCCCACCCCTCCCTTGGGCTTAAGATTGATTGATAGGTGCGTTGCATGTTCTCGCTAAAAATTAAAGTCGTGATTGTACCCATTATCATCAGTGATCAGTCTTCTTCTGATGTAATGGCATAAACCCTTTCGAGATCCACCTTGTCAGGGGACATATTAAGCATTCTATTAAAAGATCCCTTGAAACGATAGTATGGGCTGCCCTCTCTTTGAATTGGTTACTGTAGTTTCCAAGAATAACACCATAGTTTCCGAGGACCTCCTCGTCAACGTTAACGGAAGGCTCTTATAAAACACAGTGGTTCTATCCACGACAATAACCTTTCCGAGACCATCTCTCTAGATTTTGCATTATCTCAACAATAGTGACTGCCGCTGGACGAATATGTCCACTTATCGAGGATTGTGCTAACCGCACGGTCGAGAAAGGACCAGGGCAGGTTAGTACTCTACTTGCTATGGATTTAGGGTCTGCCTTCTTGCTTACCGCGCGGTTTCCATGTTTCAAGCTGCAACTGAGTAAAGTTAAAGACATCAATATAAAATCTTATAATGTACACCTTAAAAATACAATGACACTATCAGACGAAAAACTTAACGGTTTTTTTGTCGTAAACTTTGCAATTGATCAAATGCACAGTTCTCTGAATTTCGGAATAACGTTTTCCGTAAGTAGCGACCACCCGATAATTACAAACGTTTTGGTATCTCTCAATTGATTTCTCGGATGGACATAATTTATCAGAATCAGGAAATTAATATCTCACGTCATGGCGTTGTTTTAGAGTTGCATATTGTTGCATATTGTAAACAGATTTGACTACCTCAGCGGAGAATTATAGAACCCTTTCTGACTTGAACATCTTCTAAGGGAAAGTGACGACATAGCTTCTTTCAGAATACTTAAAGGAAATATGAAATAGCCCTCCAGCCAATCAGTGTGTGCATCGGATTTTAATTAAAGCTCATATAAAGTATGAATTCGTTGGATGCATCATGTAAAGTATTTTCCATTACCTGATCGAGCACTTTTCGCTGTTCTGCGAAATAGTGTGCTAAAGGCGATGGCTTGCTTCAACGCCGCTTTGTTGACGACATTAGCTGGCGGTGATGCTGGAAGGCTTTCTAACCTCTTCTTCAGCTGATCATAGAACAAATGCAGCACCGCCCGCCAGTCTCAACACGTGTCGATCATCTTTGGAGACGTCTTCACTTTCGCTGTTATCACTCCACTGCTTGTTCAGCTGCTCCGCTATCTTGTCCAAAAATTCCTCAAAAGCTGTGTTTCCGTCCACATCCAACGATAATGTGAGGACGTCATTTTCATCGTGACAAAAAGTGTAGATGCCTTCATAAACCGATCTAGGAAAGAAAAATACAATGAATCAGTCGTGGTGTTTAAGTTCGAAAAACTTTATTGTATATATATATATTGCTTTTATATAATTATACATTGCGTAAGCTGTACATCTAAATGAAAATGATTGATCGATGTGTATCAAGTATTATTAGCATATTATGGTAAAGCGCATAGAACAGGTCTGTAGGCTATATATATAAATTATTATTATTATTATGAAGGACGTCTCCTCGGCCAAAATTTGTGGCTTCGATTGGTCCAGAGATTGCAGAGATCGACGACGCTATCGTGAAAATCGCACATGGTTTTATCACTGCCCGAATGTATCTTGGGAGACGAATAATTGTTGCAAAAAAAACAAAGCCTCGTTTTGTGAAAAACTCAAAGTAGGCTTCTTGTTGCCAACCCCGCCGCATCTTTTCGAGATTTGTTTCAGTGCTCTCTTCGTTAT